CATCATCGGTGTAATTTGATCTTGAAGGAAAGGCTGTATTTGCATCATTGGGTTTGGTGATTGGTATAATCTTTATAAACACGTTATTTCTGTATTCAATTATGCATTATGTTGCGTCTGTCACAGGAAAGGGTCTCAACTTAATGTTTGGTGTAAGCCAAAAATGATACAGGCCCTAGATTTTCGAACGATCGTAGCCCTAACAGTATCGTTAGGTTATCGTATGGAAATCGTAGTCTATCGTAGTCTAAAGTATCGTAGCCATAAGATATTGTAGGATTGTCATAAATCTAAGATAGCCCCCCATACTATCCATGTCGTAAGTTTATTTTATCTTGATCTAAGACGGCGGCATACTTTGCAAACCATTTTTTTCAAACAAATAATCTGTTTTAAGTCCAAACATTGACATTTCTGAAAACTGTAGGATTCAAACTGACACTTCGAAAACACAAGGAACGCATCAAAGATTTCACGTCAGAAATGTTCTTAATAGCAACAGCGATCCACATAACTATGGAGTCGATAGTTTACAATATATTTCTATCTGAGTCCATGCTGAAGAAGTGTGAAACAACATTCTTTTTCGATAATGTGGGAAGGATAAAAACGGAAGGTGTCGGCAGGCAAAAGTACTGACCGTGACCTTATTGTCAACTCAGAGGCAGCTTTTCATACTCTAACTGAGAGTGGTTTCCCTTTGTATTCGCCCAGCTTGACCTTGCTCAATGTTACAGTTTCCATACAGCACAGAGTTCCGCTGTAATATTTTCTGGATTGCATACGTGACAATGCTTTAGTCTTTATTTTCGCATGTTATAAAATTACATCAATCTACACATGTGAAATCAAATAAAAAATGGTTTCCCATGCTCGTTTGGGTTCAAAATGTCATCATAAAGTAACGATGTTGAACACTCTCCACAAATCACTTTCCAATATTCGTATTTCGTAGACAATGTTCATTGAATGAACTTTACTGATCAGTATATAAAATAGACATTTTCACCACGATAATCTTTGACTTTTGCATTCAATGGACCGATTTTAAAATAATGATCGATGTTGGTCTTTTAAAAATTCAAGTGTACATTTACTCGTTTTAAATTAAGATAACCTTAGCAATGATGTCAGACAAGCCAAACGTTATCGAACAACATTTTGGAATAGATGTCACACTTTTACAATGTGGACATTTCGCTCCTCAGACAGATTTTAATCAAATCAGACAAATCAATTTATAAGCTCTACTTAATTTAAAAGAATAGAAAAGGACTACATTATATGTATGTTCACGTTAACTTGTGGTGTGTTCCATGAGACAACATAACTTGACAATTACTCAAGTATCTCCCTTTGTGAACGAAAACTAGTGTCACTTTCAAATTTTGATAAGAATTATAGTTCTACACAGATTCTTTTTAAATTATATAATCTAAATACAAACAGATTGATACTGTATTTGAGTCCTTTGTTTATTCCAAAAATATATTGGATATGTAAAAAACAAAAGAAACATACATTATGTCATTATGGGTGCGCAGCTTCCTGAATGTGATCATGAATTCCATGTCACTTGTTATTGTCAGCGGCTGGGATATCTCTGTGACGTCATTTGGAAATACCCCGCTTTTTCAATCTCTGACACAAATGAGTTCTCAGTCAGAGTAGCGATATTTATCGTACCTTCGTGAGATTTGCGACATGTTTCTGATAGTTTCGAAAATCTATCTTATCTTAAATTTCAGATATCATATTTTCGAACGTAAGTTGTTAAGATTTATCTCAGCTGAGATCGTTTCGAAAATCTTGACCATTTACCACGTTGGTGAAATCCACGAGCACAGGCCAAGAATAAACGTTTCCAACACGTTATTACTATATTCAATAATGTATGCTGTTGTATCTGTCACTGGAAAGTTTAAGTATTTGATATTACAATTGCTAACAATTGCTAAGTAAGTGTGTGAGTGAGTGAGTGAGTGAGTGAGTGAGTGAGTGAGTGAGTGAGTGAGTGAGTGAGTGAGCGGACAGTATTCAAGTTATATCACGGCATGTCCATATCACATTTTATATTACAAAAATGCAAACATGATGGAATAATAGACAACGATCACCTTTTCAATATAACTACATGACAGCAATGACTAAAAGAGGATAATGTGGGAACTCTATGTTCAGTAACCTCTTTCTGATGAGATATCAATAATGCATTTCTCTGAAAGAGGTCCACTTTTTCTTATTACTGTATGTTTATTATTGATATTATTTTTAATTTTTACTTTCCCCTTCGGTCTCAAAATTTGCAGTTTTTGCCCCAAATACGAAAACAATTTGGACAAATATAGGATACTCTGCCCTTGTTTCATGATACTGACCCTTGAAGATACGGGGTAGAATAGGTCTGCATCAACCAATGCTTATGACCATGCTTGTTGTAAGAGACGACTGACGAGATCGGAGTGTCAGCCTTACTGACTTGGCTGATGCACGTCATCGTATCCCAATTGGATTCGATTGTCTGGTTCAGCCTCGATTATTTACAGATCGCCGTCACATAGCTCTAAAATATTGCTGAGTGCGGTGTTAAACAACAAACAAACAACACCAAAACCTCGTGATACTGACAAAGTTTGCTCAGTCTGAGATTTAAAAGTTAAAGTGTTTCAGTTGACATTCTTGGACTTCCCGACCATAAAGCGCCTGTTAAAAACAATACTAATGATAGTACCAACCGGATGATGTGTGATCCGTACCTTTGCATTAGCCCAAGGACAAAATGCTGCCAAGATGAATAATCCACACAGAGGTCCGGTAAAGGCCGATAGGACACCTATGGCTATCTTCAATGACATATTCATAATTGTGAATAGTTATTGATGCGTGTTTCGCTATCAAGGAAGCTGTTATTGCAAAAGTAGTGCGTTGGCACTGTAGCTCACTAAATAGTCAACGAAGACAGACACTTAACAAAATTAACAAAAGTTGCTGCCAGCATTGATATTAAATATTACTTCCTGCATAAACACACGTACAATGTAGGCGTCGGAAAGAGTTTTCTTTTAAAGAAAAACTATTGAATTTCAGTTTCAGTATCCACTTTATTTGGTAAAAAAAAATCAAACAATATTTTTGGAACAACCCTACAGTCTTTCAAAATGTTAAGCAGCTGTGTCACCTGGGTATAATTCTCTTCAGAACTGACATGTTCAGCAAAGCTTTATGTTAATACAGTTAATTCTCCTTATAATTATGTCACTGTAATGAAGACAATGTCTACTGTGTCCGGGATTGCTCCCAATGATTATCGTAAATCTCCGACAATCTTAATGTTTAAAAATTGAGAATTGAGAATAGTTCCAAATATGAAAACATTCCAGTGTTTAGTTCTTGAGATATCGCGGCAACACCGTTTTCCAACTCCAAAAGCAGATTTACCTGCTGTGACCTTGGAAATGAGGTCAAGGTCACCAAAACCGACTGGTGTCTGCGGAGTCTGTATATACACCATAGTTCCAAATATGAAGACAATCCAGTGTTTAGTTCTTGAGATATCGCGGCAACAAACAGGTGGGACGTACGGACGGACGTACGGACATACGGACGTACAGACGTACGGACGGTCGTGAATACTATATACCCCGCTTCGCGCTTTCGCGCGGCGGGGGACAATTAAAATGATGAACTTTTTTCTGCCATGTTATTAAAAAAAATAATAATCTGGGACACATGCTTCGAAAACGGATCTATATTGAACATGTCAAAGAGCAATATAAAGACGTTTCAAGCAAATCGTAAATAAATTAATTAATGAAATCACCATTCCTGGTTGACTTGTTGTGTGCTGCCTCGGCTAAAATGTTTGGGCCTACAGTTTTTCCACAGGGCCTACAGTTGTTTAAATGTGCTGACCCTTAAGGCTCTCAGTTTGCTCTGCTGAGATTTCAGACACTGATCTGCAGCAAAAAACCAACAATAATTTGAGGCGATCAGTACTCAAGATTTACCTGATAATACGGATCATTACTGCAACATCTGAACGATCATTCTCAAGTCTCAGGAGTCTGAAAACACATCTAAGAAGTACCTTGCCCCAGCAACGTCTTGACAAAGTAGACACAATTTATCATGCTGTTGCACATTTACAAAGAGGACACTGATGGCATATGCCTTATGGACATTGCCAAGGCATTTGCACATACAAACCAGAGATGTAGTACCTAACCCGCACTGCGGTGAAACAAAGCATGTGAATATGGAAGAAAATAATTGTTAGATTTTAGGTATAACACCACCTCACAGACGTCAGTAATTGTTTTACCTTTTTTTATTTACTATATTTATACTAAACAACCTGTCAAGTCAATGCTGTCCTTCATTTGGTGATCACATGAACAGGACATTATCGTTTGTGTTAAATTTTGAATCTCTAAACTTTTGTTGCAAAATGGTTGACCATGTGTTTTGAGAATCTACCTAACTTAGACGATTTGGTCCATAAGACAAAACAGGAGCTAAAAGGTATTTTCACCATACGCGCGCACGAACACGCAGAGGTTGTCGACCTCGCACTCACTATCACGGACAATAACATACTACTTTCCATCTGTCACACAAAATATATCGGACCCTACCTGGTAATAGTAATCAATATGCACCCGGACACAAATGTTTTGCCCTAGTTTTAATTACACGTGTACCAAACATTTTATTACTATTTTAAAACAAAAGTCTGTAAAGTGTCTAAAGTGTGTAATCAGATTCGATCCTCGGACACGCAGGCCACAACAAAAGCTCACTTGACTTTCAGTCTGGTGAGCTAAACAATAATAATGTAGTAATCTTGCTTCATACCGCGCAGATAACAGACCCTTGAGATGAATCAGTTTTAGAAAATCAACACTGCTTTTGAAAGTAACGTAAATAACTTTATTTCCCTGTTTAGAGCAAAGGAACTGTTAAATTGAATAAGTGAGTCCACATGATATTAAGATGAGTTTTCATACCTGCCACAATGTTCCTCCTACCAATGATATTAGGATCGCTACCCCCAAGGAAGACACTCCGTAGATGATCACTGAAAGGAGATCATACATGTACATATGAGCGTCATTCTTGGTTTTCGAATGTGTCTTAAATCCGGTATTTTCCTTGCGAGAACGAGTTTTTGTACAAGTGTTGGTTTGTTTTTACTTGTTAAACCAACATTTTATCATGAATTTAGAAAATACTGATTTTGATTGGTCAGAGGGAATCAAATCACAATAACTCCCTCTGTTTTGAACAACCGACGTGACGGCTATATTGTTAGAATAGTACTTCTTTTGCAGTCAGTGTGAGTAGGCATATTTTGATAATTATATGTACAATTATAGGCTACAAAATGCAAACTTGCACATACATATTGTGCAGAAAACACGATAGAAATATAGAAGGAGAATTAATATCAAGTTTTGAGGACAACAGAGAACTTCCTATTTGGCCTTTGCCTATATATAATTACTGTGATGACATATTTTTTGCGTCACAATGAGCGATATGACATGAAAATTGTGACGTGGGGCGTAGAACGAAAAAATTGCAAGGCTTTGATTGATTTCTTCAGGGAGCCAACCTCATGTTAGCTGACCAAGTTGCTGTGCTACATGCTTTCAGAGCCTGTCATAAGTTCGGCCTAAGTAATACAGTGTAAACAAAATGTTTTAGGTTATATGGCACCATATTTAGTTCAAATACTGTTGTCAGGTTACTTTGTGTTGCCTATGTTTTGTGTCAGGGATGAAATCGCGATTGTTTTTGTAGTCTGATCGACTTGGTTGTCGCCAATGGGAGTCGCCATCTTTGTGAAGCTATACGATATTAGAACAGTGATCTGATTGTATATCGCGTTTTCATTATGAGGGGCTCAACTAGTGATTTATGCGAGGTGGCGCCAGAGTCGAGCCCAGGAAAGTTGCCTTGTTGTGGCAAGGGTAGAAACTAGGCTTTGATATAGGCTAGTGGACACGCTTGCCTCGGGAAGACGGGTATGGGTAGACAAAAAATGACACAGACATATACACACATATCAAACATGTGTTCACAACATCCTACCTGCTACTTTAGCTACAAGTGTTGCCTTGAAGTCGGAATGGTTTGGCAGGTGATGCTTGAGGATGTCTTCCCAGGTTGTTGCCGACAAACTGGACAGCCCAGAGGAAACAGTGCTGGAGGGATTATGTAAAATGTAGACTTCAATCTCAACAAACGCCATTCAAGGAATTATTTAGTGCCTTAACATGTACACATAAACCTTGTCGGCCTGTGTTAGATGACATCCCACATGGACACATAATATGTGACAATTTCTTCATGGGACAAATGACATGTGTAATATCTTCATACACAAAGCATTGTTACTTCTACTTCAGAGAACTGACGTTCAGCTGTGTACTGATAATGACAGATGCCAAGAGTCTTTACTATCTGTTTCCCGGTCCAGTGCGTATCCATTTTAAGGTTCTGTATGATGTCTCAGTGGGCTAGAACTATAAACCGGCATTAGTCCGGACAAGTAGAGCATGCATGAACGTCACTAAATTAGCGCAATGATACTGACCGCGACGTTAGGCCAAGTTTTATACCCCCATTCTCTCACCTCAGGGAGGCACTACAGAGAGCTGCCACAAACAGTCCAAGCATCCCAGGGATACCTTTGAAGATGTCCACGGTCAGGAAGGGAACGATCTGAAAAGTATCATTTGGCCCACAGTACTTTAAACTGACATTGTGCAAAACACATTTACAAAAAACAGTTGGTGTTTTAGTATAACTATTAACGTGTATCGCTGCCATCTAGCCATCTTCCCGAGGCACGGTAATTAACTGACTACAAAAATCCAGTGTCCACCCTGGCCCAACTAGGCTGGAATTATGAAGTTATGTTTTGGCTTGACTAGCGAGTCTGTGCATAGTCCAATCAAAATCCTGTAACGAAATCGACGTCCGGTTTATAAACAACATGGCACCCGCGGTGCCATATTCGTCCGATTGCAGGATGCATTCTGTCAACTGGGTGTCAACAGATACTTTCCAAATCTTTTTACGTTTTAAACCAAGGTGCTCAAGTGATTCAATGCCGATAGAATCCTCGTTTTATTACAATAAAGATCATTATTGTCGATGAAATCGTCTTGACTCGCTGCCATTTTGTTTAAGAAAAGTGCAAGATATATGAGAGGTGGAATCTGATTGGTCAGTAGGGGGGACATTCAAGAGACATAGCCACTGGTGGATTTACGATCGAGCCTTTAAATTCCAGCCAAGTTTGGCAAGGGTGGAAATTCGAGTTTTTAAGTCAGTTAACTCCCCTCCCTTGGCAATATTCCATTTTAGAGTGATTCAGCAGTTAGCTTACGTGCTTATAACACAACACCTTGGCGTAGTTTTTCCATACTATACACCTGATATGAAAGTAAGACACAATAGTCAAATATGGGTCAGTTTTTAGACGGGAAACAGGTTGGTACCTGATTTGGGTTGGTGATTTGACCAGAAGCAAGAGGATCGCATCCCAGATGATCGTAATAGGAGTAAGCCACGATACCGATTAGTATGGAGAGTGTAAAAGATAGCCAGTAGATTGGACCGGCGAGAAAGGTAACTCTGGAGGAGGAAGCATGTCACAAGAATCATTACAAGATAAGTTTGATCAAGTGGATCAACACGACACAGAGAAATTAATTTTGTACCATACCTGTGACGAATGCTAGACTTTATAGTGTCATAAATAGCACACACGTGTAATCCAGAAGATAAAACAAATTGTAATTTGCATGTGGTTCCTTCAGAATCAGGAATGAGAATATTGAACATTTCAGTGTAAGTAGTTATGTCATATAAATGTAGAAAACTAATATTTTGATTTAAAAATAATGAATTCCTGAAACATTTGTTATTGTTTTCAAGGACCACTTCCAATTTGACATAATCACAGTATATAGGACACTGTTGACATCGACATATCTTTAGTGGTAAATTTATTAATATTGTTTTCATAATTATTACTTTCAAAGTAATCATTACAATGTTGTAATATTATTTTATAATGAAGTTGATCTGCACATGGAGATATTGATAAAATTGAAACCCACAACGCTGTGTGTGCGTTTGATATTTTTAACCATGAACCATTCTGTTCCATGACAGTCCCCTCCCTAATGATAATATCCTTACACCTGTAGCCTGACACGTCAATCAATTATTAACACTGTATATATAAAAAGGTGCTTTGGTGCAATGATAACATGACATTGGCTGTGCAATACATATGCTAAATAGGTTAATATAGTCACTATATTTACTAATCCACAAACACTCTTTAAATGCACAGATATTATGTAGTTCCTTGAACCTGACTCCACACACAATCCGGAATATAACATGGATATATGTTATTGGAAAATGTTGGTGGCCTTATATTCAACAAACGGTGCGTCAGAACACAGCCATTGTCGATTTGCAATGTCTTAAACGGCATTGTTTTCACACTTGTTTAAAAATGTCATGGAGGAAAACAGTAAAGCAAAATGCACGTGCACGCTATGGCATTCGTAACACGTGGTAGTGGCTATTAAAAGGCAAGCATAAACCAATAATTTGTAATTCAATTGTCAACATTCGAAAATGCCGAGACTCAGCGCTGCCGATTCAAACATCGCCATAGGACGTATCCAAAGAGGGGAATTGCAGTATTCTGTTGCACGCCACTTCAACGTCCACCACAGCACCATTTGCCGCCTTGGTGACCTATACACACAGTTCAATTCCATTGCAGACCGTCCGAGAACGGGCCGACCAAGCGTTATCACCCCTGCACAGGATTGTTACATTGGACTGTTCCACCTAAGTCATCGCAATGCGACAGCTACGGAGACTGCAGGCTTCCCTGGCTTTAGGAGGATATCGGACCAGACTGTCAGGAACCATCTTTGCGAGGCTGAAATCTGTTATCGCCCCTGTTTTGCAACAGATCCATCGACAGCGACGCTTGGGTTGGTGCCATACCTTACAGCCTTGGAATATGAGAAACTGGAGACGAGTGTGGTTTAGCGATGAATCATGATTTCTTCTTCACCGGCCAGATGAAAGACAACGTGTTTATCGTCGTCGAAATGAGCATTTTGCCCCACATTTTGTATGTGAATTGATCTGTAGTGTCATGGCGTGGGGGACATATCCTACACCACGAGATCTGACTTGGTTGTGGTCAGGGAAATTTGACAGCAAATCGCTACGATCAAATTCTTCAACCTCACTTTTTTCCAATTATTGACCGCCAACAGGACAACGCACCACCGCACACAGCTCGTGTCATGGTAGAATACGCTTCATAATGCGAAATTCAACGTAACGCCCTGGCCCTCGAGATCTCCAGATTTCAACCCAATCACCCACCTCTGGGATGAGCTCGATTGACGTGTACGTCGACGTAAGAACACTCCGTAGACACTCCCTCAACTGGCCAACTCTTTACAAGCAGAATGGCGCAAAATTCCGCAGGACAGAATTCGTACACTCATCCAGTCAGTGCCGAGCAGGTGCAGAGCCGTGTATGCTGCCCGGGGCGGTCGCACGAGATAGCGCAACCTTGTGGCCTTATGTGACATGACAATGAACAGTTTCCAATGCCTTTGTACAACGACAGCATGTGTCTAAATTTCATATTTGTATCTGTGATATTAAATCAAATATATCGAATTTATTAAGTTCAATAAATTTACTAAAAATCTATCTGTGCGGTCCCTTTTTTTAAGTATATATATAATCCCACACGTGTTGAACAATGCATTCCTTTAACAGGACAGTGTCATTCTGAACAAAATTTCTGTTGTTTTGGAATTATTTTGTCCCGCTTTTGTGATGCTTATTTTCATAACACACAATACTTTGGATGGTTCTGCAAGAAACATATATCCAGTCATTATCTATCGTTTATTTATGTTCTTGTCAGACAAATAGTTGTCATTATTAGAAATTTTCAATCATATCTCAACGATGTAGAACATGCATTTCATTTCTTACACTTTAATTACTAATAAAGATAGGCGTCTCTGAAACTGATTGCCTTGTTAACAAGTCATACTTCTGTGCTCCCCTCAGGGTCTTCATTGAACATATACGTTGTACGGTTGATTGGTTGAATGACAAATGGAGTCCTCTTGCCAAGTTTCCAAAGTAGAGCCCCCAGAACGTGTGGCGCACAGTTGGATCAGGATCAAAGCTGTAAATTTATAAGATGTTAGTCGGTAATGCGTTCTTCCGTGATGTGATCTTGTCACAGAAGGAACTAAGGAATCATCAAGTTTCAGTAGGTAAGAAACTTTCCCAACACGTTATTTCTATATTCATACATGCAAACTGTTGTACAGCTGTACCTGTCACAGGAAAATTTCAGTATCTAATACGGTAACAATTGCTCACAATTGAAAAGAATACCAGCTGAGTGAGTGAGTGAGTGAACAGTATTCCCGTTATATCACGGCGTGTCAGCTTCATAAGGGAGGAATGGCTGAATCGACCACGTTGATGAAACTCACGAGCTCGAGAATGGAGCTGACAAACCTCAAATGTGTTAGAACCGGGATTTAAGCCCACGATCATTGGTTTCTAATTTCCGAAGGACTCGACTTTGCACAGTGACTTGCGGCGTCTTACATTGCTTGGTAACCAGTGCCCCCACAAGCTATTAGTTCAGCCCATTGAAAGTGTTGCAAGTCAATTTGTGAATTGGTGTGTATATTTATTTTGAGGGAGAAGCAATTCTATTTGGGAGCAGGGAAAGGCGTTTAAGAAGGGGCGTTCCACATTGAAATTGTAAGGGTGAAAGAACACTGTACATACTTTAACATGTTAAATCTTCCGCCTTTGGATGCAGCAGACCACACTTCAACCACTCCCCCGACATCTAAGGTACCCTGGAAAGTGAAACGAGGCGCAATGAGGACAGTTTTGAAGCTGATAAGCCATGTTGCGCCTTTCTGGTTTGTTTGTTGTCCAACACCACACTCAAGATCAAGATCGAGAGGTACAACACAGCTATAGAGATGTGCTGCATACAATACCCATACATATACAATACACTCAGCAATATTGAAGCTATATGGCGGCGGTCTGTAATTATATGGACCAGACAATCCAGCGATTGACACCTTGAGCATCCATCTACGCAATTGGGATACGATCATCAAGTCAACAAGCCTAACGATCCCGTTAGTAGCCTCTTACGACCGAGGTGCTATGGACGTGTTCAAAAGTTTTGTTATCAGACTTTCATGATCTGTGTATTTTTATGAAAAGTGACACTTATGACCCCACATATGCTTCTTTACAGTTTGTTAATTCACCCAAGTTGTATTTTAGTTTGTACGATAAATGATTGAACTTCAAAACACATTTCAAATTAAATGTGTACATTTTTCTCATTTCCTTTCCATATGCAGCTCAAGTCGATGTATACTTTGATCAGTAGGTTACATCCTGTAGAAAAATATATGTGTTCATACACGAATATATTATGAATTAGCTTATATTTATGCTTGCCACAAAGAATATTGAATGTCTACATTAATAGCGATTCATATTATTAATTTTTGGCATCTGTGTTTTGGTAAATATTAAAAATCGGATGGAGGAAAATGACAGTCTACCTGTCTGACCATCAAAGAACATCTGAGTAGAACCTGCTAACGAGGAGTGCCCTATTCTAGTTATAGATACTGTCTTCATTAATTACCTGTCAGACAACTGCCTGTCTGACAAAAGGGAATAACCAGTGTTAATACGATATATCGCAATCAATGACTTGCTGTAACCCTGTTAATGTATACTGAACCGCAAAAGAAACGTCACCATTGATGGATATATGAGAAACCTTATTTGTCTGAACATTGTAAGCATATGTAGAGATATATTAAAAAGGTGAAACCTGTCAAAACTGATCATCAAGGTTGAAATTAAAGTGTCTAATGTTCTTAAAGTGAAACACAACTCTAGTCTCTGAGAAAATGGCATCACAAGTCAGCATCTCGTGTGTCCGCCATGTGCATTGATGACTACCGTGCAACGTCGATACATGGAATGGATGAGGCGAACTCCATCAATGTTTTAAGTACCTATTTCCTCACAACCGGTAAAAGTCATATCAGCTTTTTAATTCCTTAAATAACAGTTTTCGTACTGTTGTGTACATTTTTTTATTGTGTGTGTGTGTGTGTGTGTGTGTGTGTGTGTGTGTGTGTGTGTGTGTGTGTGTGTGTGTTAATCATGAAATAAGCTGTCTCTGATGTAATTATTTTTTACTATATTTATTTATGACAATAGACTTCAATACTTGCGTTTATGGACATACATACATACATACATACATACATACATACATACATACATACATACATACATACATACATACATACATGAGGGAGTCATCATTATTCAAATACGGAAAAATATTTTTAAAGCTTGTACATCCTTAAAGAAGCTGTACATGATGTTGATATGTCATATAAAAAAACGGTGAGCACACTTTGTGTAAATGCTTGCGTAAGTCAATTTATATATATCTCGTCTTAAATCAGCAAATAAAACCCACAGCATTTTATTCTTGAAAACAGTAATATCACTTGTGTTTACTACTTGGTATGTCAGGAAAAAATTAGTCTTATCAAAGGTTTGTTCCCTCCCATATGTTGGTTCACGTGTTGCAAACGAGTGGTTGACGGGTTGCATACATATATGGTTGACGGATTGCACATGTGTGGTTGACCGATTCCTCACGAACCATTGACCGGGTGCACACGTTTTGGATACACGTTGCCCATGTAAAGAAACTCCAGGAAGTTTAACTCACCTTAATGATAATGACCAGGATTCCGAGGGTCATAATGAACGTCTGGAAGACATCGGTCCATACAACTGCTTTGATACCACCCTATGCAATGACACAATTTGTACAGCAAAGTACTCACTCACTCATTAACATAGCAACAGCCTCACTCAAAAACACATTTAGGGTGGGTGAAGAACATGGGTTATGGTGGTTGAAAATGGCCGCTGATCATAGTGTTTTGTAAAAAATCGAGTGTTGACAAGACAATCCAGTGCTCTACATCATGAACATTGATCCACGCAATTGGGATACGATGACATGCATCAACCAAGTCAGCGAGCCTGATCACCCGATCCCGTAAGTCGCCTTTTACGACAAGCATAGTCGCCTATTACGTATGGGATGCTGAAGACGTATTCTAACCCGGATCTTCACGGGTTACTTGTAATAATGTGTCATATTTCACATTGCCTTATGATTTGAAATGATAGTGGCAGACGTAAAGCCTCGTCCACAGTCGAACACTACTTCACGCTGAAGGGATGTACATTTCATACATTCATCATTCACATCTTAACACTACCCATACACATTTTCTCGTAAAGTTTACCATTGCTGTATAAATGATGGCAGCAAAGATGACGAGGAACATTGACCAAACTTTGGGTATATCAGTCACTGAAATAGAGATATGTTTGCCTGGGTATCATTTCGAAACAGTTTTACTTGAGTCAAGGCTATGTTAACTCCATTGTTAGCTTTCCTAAACACACATGGAAAGGCCAACCGTGAACCGAGCTATTGGCAAGAATTAAAAACCCACACTATTCAACTAAATAAGTAATTGCATTAAATTCAAAAATAATGCTGCACATTTTTTAACACAAAGTGCCATGCCACAAATTATCATAATAACAAGGTTTTATAAATTAATCACTTTTTCCGTTTGGGAGGCACTGATCACAAAACAGCTTTATTATTACCAAGTCAAGTAGATATGTATTGTTTAGTTTTAAAACAATTACATATTACAAGCGTGCCATTCTAAAGCTGATGCATATTAATAAATAGATAACAGAACATATATTTTCTACGACAAAAGCAAATAACGGTGGTTCGTTCTTTACAACATGATATTATACTCTTCATAAAAAGAATGGCAATACGGATAGTTTGGCCATAAAAGCAGAACTAGCGAACAAAGAGGTGCAAACTGAAGAGGTTTAATGTGTTATAGTGTCAGTGACAAATTTCCGGTATTAAAGTGTAGGGTTTGTGATTGCCTGGCATTTGCGTCAATCGAATATTGACAGTTCAACAACATGCCAAGATTAACAGAAGTGCAAAGAAACAACGTTATAGGCCGCTTGCAGGCAGGGGAATCCTGATCAGCTACGTCATAGGCCGCTTGCAGGCAGGGATTTCCCGATCAGCTGTAGCCAGGCTCTCCGACCAGACTGTACGAAATCGTTTAACAGCAGCAGGTCTACGAGATCGACGTCCTGTTTGACGCATCATATTGAGTCGACAACATCGTCAATAACGACTGCATTGGTGTGGTCAGGTTTGGTAGGGGTAGCGTATGACGTGGGCTGCTATCTTTCATCATGGCACGACAGGTTTGGTCCATATCCAGGGGAATCTTACGACTCAACTATACATCAACGAAATTCTCCTACCACACGTCCACACGGCAACGGTGTATTCCAGCAGGACAACGCTCGACCGCATCCAGCACGGATCACAAGAGCCTGTCTTCTCTCCTGGCCCTCCAGATCCCCGGATTTGAAACCGATAGAGCACGTGTGATGAATTGGAGAGGCCGCTACGCTGCCGTCAACCACAACCCCAGACGTTGCAGCAGTTGGATACCATACCCCAGGATCTGATTGGGAGATTTCAGGCGGCTATCGATTCCAACGGGGAACATACGCGTTATTGATGCTAGCTGACCTTCACCTTGGACCTTCCTCTGTACCGACAACTGAGATGACTACAATCACCAAGTGTTATCTCCACAACATTTGGGATCCATACCTTGTACGGTTTCTCCTATAAATGTATTTTCCTACCTCACACAAAACTGGCTTGGCGTTTCTTTTTTTTTATAGATTATATGTAATTACCTTCTTCGAGACCTATGGCTGTCCCAAACACTACTATTCCCATGTAGAATACCTACAAATACAAATATAAGTAAGAGCATGATTAAGTGAATCCTTTTTGTACTAAGTCTGCAGAATTAAAAGAAAATATTTCTATTTCAGTATATTTTTGTTTGTATGAAAAAACAACAACATTTATATATCCCAATGTCATTTGTTTCGAGTCTCATCCTTTTCGAGGTCCTTAACAATATTTGACCACGCGTTTAATGATGTCATCAAGGGAAAAGCTTTAAAGCCCAATGAAGACATCAATGTGTTCGCCTATTGTTATGTTGCGAATTAAGAAACACGAGAAAAGACGTTCAATAAGTAATGAAAACATACATCAAAACCTAGTTTTTAACTGATGCACATTTTAATCAAAATTGAGCTAATGGTATTTGTGCACCACAACGACCGTATGCACCGATGAGGAATCGGCTGTTGTTTGTAAATTTCCTGTAATGTGACTGATCATATTGAGCTTCTATTTTTAACTTGACTGTAATGGAGGGGCTCGAAATCATGTGACAGAAACAAGATGGCGCCTGACTGAATCGTCTCGCTCGGCGAGGTGATGCCACTTTAAAAATCATGAGACCTGGTCATTTGACCATCCAAATGTTAACAGAAATAAATGTTCTCCAAAATAAGACATTTTTTAGCGTATTTGGATAAGTATTAGACACGATATCAGAAATACTTCGTAGGGGCTCGAAAACACATCACGTTAGGATATATATAATTAATATAATATTTCTTTATGATACGTTCATGGCATAATAACGGATAACAGTTTGTTTTAATGTTATAGATCCATAATACAGGAAAAGTAAAACAATGTAACATGTTGTGTGGATGCTGGTACACGAAAAGGAAGCAACTCGTAACAGCCCCTTGACCGGCATATTTGACATAACATTTACAACCAGGCAAGCAATAAATGTAATGACGTACGTAGTATAACAGACCAACAAAAGTTCCCAAGAGGCGGACTGCACGGGAGTTGAAACGCCTTTGTATATACTGAAACATTAGAACATAGTCTTACGATTTGTAATAATTTGGTATTCAAATATATCAGACTTTGATTATTTATGTCAACTGGATTTCCCCGACTTCAAGTAGGCCATGCTCCGAAACAGCTTATATTCTTAGAAGTCTGACATAGCTTGGTGTAGTGTCTTCTTAGCCAAATAAATATTTGTTGTCTTATATATGGTGAATACACTGAATATTGTTCAGCGACCCAACCCCTTTTTGTTGGTATACAGGGAGTTAAATACTTGAACTGTTCAATGTTTAATTTCATTAGTATATGTCAGGAACGTGTTTTATCACCAAAAGTAGTCTTTAAACGCACAATGACAGTGGGTACACAAAGTACGTGACCTAGACTACCAGTTGTCGGACTTTCATTTATGTGGAAGCCTCGGTGGCTAAGCGGGTTAGATTGCTGACTTTGATTCTGTCATTTGTTAAAGCTTTTTCAATTGAATAGTCTGATATCTTGCTGTCAGACCCCCCCCCCCCCCCCCCCCCCCGTCAGTGAGGCCAATGGTGTATCTTGGAGAAGGTGGCCACTTATCTCAGTCTCTCTTGAAGATCTGACATTGTACATCTATGTAGAATCACTTGATAGTCCCTACAGAAAATACATCCTTCGTCAAAGAGTGTACATGATTGACGTGAACGTTTTAACTTTCGCTCCTGAGATTCAGTTCTGCTATATTTAGGGCTCTCTCTTGATTGTTCATGTTTTGAATGTTGTCGACATGCTTTGTGCCACTCCGCATGATTGTCCATGATCAAGTTCCCCCCCCTTTATGCCTGACTGCTGAACAAGTTTAATACCCCCCATCCCCACCCCACCCCTACACACACACACAACAATTCACAATATAGTGAATAAGTGAATTAAATAACCGCATCATATGTTTAATTGAATTTCTACAATCGGCCTTCTTCTTTCTCATTCAGTAATTTATGATAATAGTGAATGTATAATTTTATAATAAACGAAAGTTGTTAAAAACTGGATACTTTCAAATACGAAATGAAGTTTCTACATTAATTCAGTAAAAAATGCAGATTATTAAATGTGATTCTTAAAGTTTATAGCTTAAAATTGTTCATCGCTACAGTAAGTAAGCACTCACATCATAAGATTGACACCTTGACAAGAAAGCAAAGTATGCCTTTGACTCTGCGAAGGGGATTTGATAAACTCAACAAGTTAGACCTTCATGTGAAATAGTTGGTATGTGATGTCAACATTATTTTACAAGTTTGGTATGTTAATGGCTCGTGTCATGCTTATCTGAGAAAAGGACCAATGCCACTTGACAAATGTTATATTTAGTAACAAAAGACTATACGTGCATAACGAAACATTGTATGCAAATGCTAAGATTCAAGATTAATAATAATAGCTAACATTGACCAAATAAAATATGCAAACTGCTTCAAGTCCCTCATTGTAGACATTATGTTAACAATTAAATTATTAGGGATAGTAGTGTTTGCACGTACCTCATTAACAGACGTTATCTTTAGTGGATGCATCAAAGGCACAACCAGTAGACCAGTAAGAAAGAACACCATCAGACACTGACCGAAGGTAGAGATCCAGATCTGGGCGCCATTCACGTACACTTCAGCTGGAATGCCAAGGATCATGATGGACGATTCAAAGGACACCATGAGCGACAACGCGACGGGGATAATCTGCATGTTGCGACCTCCGACCAGAAACTCTGATGTAGATCGCTGACGTCCACCAGACAGGGCAAAATACAAACCGATTCCAAGTGACATGAGAATGGTGGCGCCGAACGCCACGTAGTCGACGATGCCGAAGCTGTTCATGATGATTTAACCGGGATTGTAATTGTACTGAAAACACCCAGAAACAGATTTGCAGAAAAAATATCTATCTACCTGAATAAATAACAAGGTACATAATTAGATACATTGTTTTAGCCTAAACAGGGGTAAATCTTTACAAAGAGTACGTTTAAAGTCACACCAGCGTTATTGTGACTGGAAGGTTTCATATTCTTTTTAATTGTGCAACCTCCTGTAAGGTCAAATAGTGGGTGGTCAGGTTTGCTGACTTGGTTGATACATGTCGAATTGTGCAGATCAATGCTCATGATATCAATCACTGGATTGTCTGGTCCAGACTCGATTGTCTATAGACCGTCGTCATATAGCTGGAATATTGCCGAGTGCGGCAAACTGGGGAGATGGTGTTTACACAGCCTGAAGCACATATTGAGAGAATTAAGTGCCCACCACTCCTTCATCATTGACCAATTTTCATTCCATTTTCAACATTGAGTGAGTGAGTCTGGTTTTACGCCGCTTTTAGCAAAATTCCAGCAATATCACGGCGGTGGACACCAGTAATTGGCTTCACGCATTATACCCATATCGGGAATCGAGCCCGGGTCTTCGGCGTGACGAGTGAGGACAAAATAATAGCGATATATATATTTTCATTATGGATACTGTGGCGGACACGAACCTCTTACATTTGGGTGTCATCACTGGTGGGAAGAAGTAGATGATAGTGTCAAATAAACGTCAAATATTCAAATATCGCAAACAACGGAGCAGCATATCTAATTTCACGTGTACCAATTTTCATTACAATTTGAAAAACACGTGGCAAATACAAAGTTTCGGTTTTCAGTATGATGCAAAGTTGAATGCACAATGTAAAATCATAATGCTGCAAAAAACGAAACCTATATGATGTTTGTTTGTTTGTTGTTTAACGCCGCACTAAGCAATATTCCAGCTGTATGAGGGCGGTTTGTAAATATTCGAGTCTGGGCCAGACAATCCATTGACTGACATCATGGGCATCGCAAGTGGGATTCGTGCCTGACCACCCGATCCCGTTAGTCGCTGAAGACCTATTCTACCCCGGACCTTCAAGGGTTGATGAGGCATGGACGTAACTGCACATATATCTCTGGGGAAGTGTCAGCAAGAGGCACAGGAATTTCTCTGTCAAAAGTGTACCGTATTAGTCATGTGTGAAAACACCTATCACTGGATGTGGTAAAATGGTTCATGTAATGTTTCTATTGGAAAAGTCATTCAGATAAAACGCTTCTGTTTTGGCATGTCATGCAAACGCCTTTCTTGTACATTAATACCTTGTCATCGACCCAATTACGGCCGTATACCTCTGCTTACTCGCCAGAGTATATATGGTAACACCGGGATCCCAGAAATGCTGCCCATAATGCCACCGCCGACAACGACGACGGACAACCAGGCCATGGTATTGGGTCATTGTTGACTTTCAGTCAGATGTGCTACAAATCACACGTTTCTGCATCACGTATGATGAACTCCAAGCAACTAATTATGATTGGATGACGTGGAGAGTCAAGGTCACTCGGTATGAAGCAGACGCCCTCTAAGTCTTTTGTACGCGATATTTATAACTGGAATTTGATACACATATCAAGGAAATTCATTGCTTAGATTAAACGGCAAAGGTAATTGAATTTACAGAGCAAATAGATTTGTTATTGCGGTAGCTACATGCGAAGGCTTTTCTGTGTCAAAGTTGTACCGCATTTGGTCAAATGCTTTCTTGAACCGAAAGTGATGTTACTAAACCGGAAGTCGTTATAATTTTGGTATAAAGGAAGCTAGAATCATAGGATTTTCTCTATCAAAGTGGTCTATCGTTACATTGTTTCGCAGGTGTACTTGTAGCCTACCTGGGTCTGATACAATGTCTTGCATGTGTACTTGTAGCCTATGTCGGTCTGATACAATGTCTCGCAGGTGTACTTGTCGCATAACTCGACATGATACATCGTCTCGTAGGTGTACTTGTAGCCACCCACGAGGCGATACATTGTCTTACGGATGTACTTGTAGCCTACCTTGAGATGATACATCGTCTCGTAGGTGTACTTGTAGCCACCCACGAGGTGATACATTGTCTTACAGATGTACTTGTAGCCTACCTCGAGGTGATAGATGGTCTTACATATGTACTTGTAGCTACCCTCGAGGTGATACATTGTCTCGGAGGTATACTTGTATCCTACCTCGAGGTGATACATTGTCTTACAGATGTACTTGTAGCCTACCTCGAGGTGATACATTGTCTCGGGGGTGTACTTGTAGCCACCCTCGAGGTGATACTTTGTCTTAAAGATGTACTCGTAGCCTACCTCGAGGTGATACATTGTCTAACAGATGTACTTGTAGCCTACCTCGAGGTGATACATTGTCTCGGAGGTGTTCTTGTATCCTACCTCGAGGCGATACATTGTCTTACATATATACTCGTAGCCTACCTCGAGGTGATACATTGTCTCGGAGGTGTTCTTGTATCCTACCTCGAGGTGATACATTGTCTGGTAGGTGTTCTTGTATCCTACATCGAGGTGTTACATTGTCTGGTAGGTGTTCTTGTATCCTACATCGAGGTGTTACATTGTCTGGTAGGTGTTCTTGTATCCTACCTCGAGGTGTTACATTGTCTGGTACGTGTTCTTGTATCCTACATCGAGGTGTTACATTGTCTGGTAGGTGTTCTTGTATCCTACCTCGAGGTGTTACATTGTCTGGTACGTGTTCTTGTATCCTACCTCGAGGCGAAACATTGTCTGGTACGTGTTCTTGTATCCTACCTCGAGGTGATACATTGTCTGGTAGGTGTTCTTGTATCCTACATCGAGGTGTTACATTGTCTGGTAGGTGTTCTTGTATCCTACATCGAGGTGTTACATTGTCTGGTAGGTGTTCTTGTATCCTACCTCGAGGTGTTACATTGTCTGGTACGTGTTCTTGTATCCTACATCGAGGTGTTACATTGTCTGGTAGGTGTTCTTGTATCCTACCTCGAGGTGTTACATTGTCTGGTACGTGTTCTTGTATCCTACCTCGAGGCGAAACATTGTCTGGTACGTGTTCTTGTATCCTACCTCGAGGTGTTACATTGTCTGGTACGTGTTCTTGTATCCTACCTCGAGGTGATACTTTGTCTTACAGATGTACTCGTAGCCTACCTCGAGGTGATACATTGTCTAGTAGGTGTACTTACATCCCCCGCATCTCGTTGTGAACTCTTCCTGCATTTCACAAACCTCGTACAGCTGCTTTTCCTCAATATCGTCAAATTTATGTTTTTCACAAGAGTAAAATAGAAAATTAATCCACTACCGCTGATCGTCGTGTAGGACGTTATACCGACAGTGATCTCTTCAGGAGCTGCCGCCTCACTCGTCTTTACTGTGTATTCCAAGTGTATGCGTCCATCACTGCATCACTGCATCACTGCTTCACCAGCGTATGCATTCGTTTACTGAAGCGCTATGTAATTAATTAGGAGATAAATATACTGTTTTCATAATGAAGCGGCATGGGTTGAGTCCATTGTGATCTGTGTTGTCGATCTGAATAATGGCATCACCGACAGCAGCCTTTAAAACAACATATGGCGCTGTATATGCTCAAGCAGTGTATTTACACCCTAATACTTCACTCAAACATATGACAGAGGTTGAAAGCATATAAGGACGGCAGCTTGGTAAACTAACATGAGGTAGGCATCCCTAAAGAAAGCTAAGCGAGCTTTGAAAAGCCTTCGTTCTACAACGCACGTAGCCATTATGACGTCATTTCGCTCATTGTGACGGAAAAGATGATTTCACAGTCGTATATAGAACAGCGCCCAATTCCAAACTCCCTGTTGGAACCAAAATTTAAAATGCATTCTCTTTGTAGATATGTATCGTGTTATCTGCACGAAATGTATTGCCACACATCCTTTGAATATTGTAGTAACCACAAATTGCATTTTGTAACCTATAATTGATTATAGAATTATTTAAATATGCCATCTGACAGAACCAAATCCATTCTATCAATTTTAGTTTCTGTTGTGATGTGGCCGTCAAATCGGATTTGATGTCTACATACATGAACAGATAGCAGGGGTGTACAGGACTGACGCATCCACCCATTACGTTTATGTTATTATAGAAACCTATGCCCCCAAACATCCTCTCCTCAACCATGTTGTTGTGAAGGCCCGGCTGTATAGCTGGTTTCTGCTCACAAGTTCAGCTCACAAACCGCCTCGCTCTGCCTTCATTATTTACTCCGAGATGACACTTGTTGATCTGTACAACACAGGAAGCCTACCTGCCACAGGTGGTCCGCTCCTGTTGTCGTACCCTGAACAGCAACGCTGATCACGTCTTAGAATGGTGCCACACACCCGCGGGTCCAGCGACAGCAATCCTCAATATCAACAACTTGTAATTCAGTGACGATATCGTACTGCTTGTCGAGGCTGTGTACGCCGTGATGTGTTTAACTCAAGGCGAAAATTGTCTGCATGGAACCATGAAGCATCGTTGTCTAGTTTATTATAGCCTTGAGCATAGACGAGACAACATGTGCTATATTCATTATTTGATGTTTCGTTGTATTAAGAGTTGTATAGCCTGTCATCTGTATACTTTAATGCATTATGTGGTTGATTCAGATGAACACAGATGTCATGCGAATTAAAATTTCGTATATATTAAGTCAAGCGATGAACGGAAAAACTGTTACTGAGTTGATGGAGTCTATGTTTATTAGGCCACCAATAAGCACCAGGTACCCAAGGCAACCAAAGATAGTGTAGATACATGCAACAGGTACCCGAGGCCACTAAAGATAGTGTACATACATACAACAGATGCCCGAGGTCACCAAAGATACTGCACATACATGCAACACTTACCAGTGGCCACCAAAGATAGTGTACATACATACAGCAGGTACCCGAAGCCACCAAAGATAGTATACATACATCCAACAGGTATCCGAGGCCACCA